AACATATAACTTCTGCATACTTGAAATATGTGCTAGATGAGTTAGACCTTGAAGAATTACATAGTTATATGGGGTTCCTTGAGTATATCTCTTCTCTGGTCTATCACACTTGTGTGGCGTCAATATGCAAGTGAAGTCAATTGGTTGATTTACCCCGGTCAATCTTGTTTGGGGTGACATTCACTTGTGGCTTCGGCCTAGGCCATCCATTCAATTAAATGCTTTAGAAATATTGCATCTGAATCAGAGGTATCTTGTGCAAAATTCTGCTAAATCTGTGTGGTTGTATTAACCATATTACAGTGAAAGTATATATCTGGAGATTTTACCATTTCATATGAAGAGGAAACTCTTATCACTTTAAATGTCCCAAAATGGTGTATTCTCTTCATTTGCCTGTTGGTTATGGTTATTGCATTCTAGTGGACCACAAGAATATAGCAATAATACTTTGAGAGAAGCTTGTCAGATTCTTCACACCCTTTTTTTCTGGGTCATGTATCACAAATTAGTTAGAAAGTGTACGGTCATAGTCTAGAGTTGATTAGAATTATTTAATTATTTTGTTTACTTACTCAATGCTTATCTGATTTGGAAGCATATTGCTGCTACATAATGACACAAATATGGACGTTGTAACAAATTGCTGGTGCTGATTTTTTTGAAATAATGAAGCAAATATGCTTTCAAAAATGGAGAAGAATGACTAATTGGTTTAATATTTACACCTTGAAGTGTCAATAAGTTTTAGATTCAGGACATTGGAACCTAGTGCTGTTGGAGTTTTGGCCAAGTTTCAGATATCATCTTACTGTCATGCAGAGTATAATGCATCGTAATAAAAAATCTAATTTACTTTCTTCGACTCTGTTTCTTTCATCCTTTTACATGAAAACAATTCAAATGTCATTATGAAGGGTGCAATCTAGTCTTCAACAAGTGGACATTGGCACATAATATAAGATGATGAAGTGCAAAGCTATATAAACATTATTAGTAACTTGTAAGCTTGTTTTGATACATTTGTTTTGGAAAATAGTCTCTGTTTATTTATCTGAAGATATTAGTAGCTGTTCAACTTTGATGTCTTAAGTCACATGATTTCTTGTTTATTTTGATTATAGGCTTACCCACAAGAAAAGGTTGGTGTTTTCGTTCGGCGAGGCAAGGGTGGGCCTCTGTCTGTGGTCGAATACAGTGAGTTGGACCCATCTTTGTCTAGTGCTATAAACCAGCAAACTGGTCGTCTGCGATTTTGTTGGAGCAACGTATTGTCCCTCTTTGCCTCTTTTGTTTTTTCTCGCTGTCTTATTAAAGAATGGTTATTTCAGTGATCATATGGTGCTTTTTGCTAGGGACTTTAAGTTATATCTCTTCCACATGTTGCTTCAAGTGATTGTCTTCTCTGATTTCTTCCTGGTTGCATTTTCAGGTTTGCCTACATATGTTTACTTTAGATTTTCTGAACCAAGTGGCAAATGGTTTGGAGAAAGACAGCATGTCAGTAGTCTTATCTTTCTTTTAGATCTTAATTTTCTGTATTGTATTAGATCTATATTCTTAGTGTGTGTGCTTAATTTCAATAGTTATATGGCCTCTGTTTACCCTTCCTTTATAGATGGATGGACAAAAGATATAATGTGCTTGATATCTTTCTTATCCAATGAATGTTACAGTCTATCTGCTCCACCTGTCTGTAGATTTGTAGAGAAGCTCATGCTATTAATATATATGAGTTGACTTTTATAAACTGTCTTCTTCATGGTATGAAATTACTATGAGTTAATTATTTTGGGTATGCTTTTTAATTTTCGCTGTGCATCACGTTCTTCTTTTCAAGTCAAATATATCAATGAGACATGGGAAAAATGTCAACTCACTTCCTATTGTTATCTTTAGCCATTGAACTTTAGGGATAATTAATGAGCCCCTTGTTTAGTTCTTTTCGTGATGCTTTCCTGTTTCAATTAAAACATGTAATTGAGCAAATTAATTCAGGCACTCTTTCAGGATTTACTACACATTCTCACCTTATAATTTTGGAACCATCTCAAACATGAGCGAAAGGATTATCTGTGAAGTACTATCTATTGCCAAATTTTAAAATTTTTATTGCTATTATGGAACTGATGTAGAAAGCTTTACAACGTGAGTGCAGCTATCACCTTGCAGAGAAAAAAATTCCATCAGCTCATGGGCATACCTCGGGATACAAACTTGAGCAGTTCATCTTTGATGCATTTCCATATGCACCTTCTACAGCCCTTTTTGAGGTAATTATTGCTGGGAAATGTTTGACCAGTTTCTCTCTCTCTCTCTTGCTCTCGCTCTTGCTGATTGATGAGAGGCAAATAATTACTGTAAAAATCGTAAGAAACATACCAGATGTATAAAAATTGAAATTTCTTTCCCTATTGCATAGGTATTACGTGAAGAAGAATTTGCACCAGTAAAAAACGCCAATGGATCAAATTTTGACACTCCAGACAGTGCTAGACTGCTTCTTCTTCGTCTCCATGCCCGATGGGTTGTTGCAGCTGGAGGTTTCTTGACTCATTCAGTGCCTTTATATGCAACTGGTAAGTCAGTTTTTACATGTAAATCTGATAAGAACATAATAATTGTTTTAAGAGATAAATAGTCTACAATTTTATCAATCTTGAAACAATTTAGTTTTGCTTTTCATAGTGGAGTTATCTAATAATGCTAATGGGAACCTCTCCAAATCCTTGACTATGAATTTTGCAACTCGTGTGAAAGTTTAACCAAAACATCCTTGTCCTCACTTGTTAAATTCAGGTGTGGAAGTTTCACCCCTTTGTTCATACGCTGGTGAGAACCTGGAATCTATTTGCCGCGGAAGGACTTTTCACGCGCCCTGTGAAATCTCATTTTAATTTGACGTTATACAACATATTTGTTTGAACATTCTTTTCCCTTTGCCTTCTTTTTCCCTTTTCCTTTGTCAATTTCAAATCCATGTTCACCAGGATGAGGCTTGTAATCCAAAACTACATATTTGAGATGCAGATTAGTCAAGAAAGAAAGCTTTTGCCTTGTAATGTGCATAATAAGGTGTCATATGTAAACTGTCGCTTTTGCGGTGGCTGAGAAGTAACCTGTTACATTGGAATGATTTGAAGTTGATGATGATTCAGAATTGTCCAATTATTTGCATTTAGTTCCTTTTCAAGGTGATTTTGCTTTGCATGCGCGGAAATTTCGGGAGATGATTTTCCCCGAGAGCTCTATTTCTTGTATTCAGAATTGTCCAAAAACTTCCTACATTGTCATGTGGTAAGCAAAATCCGGTACTTAATTCAATGCTACAAGAACTGGATCACGGGTATTTTAGCAGAGCTACTTTGTTAATAAATGCTTCGGCACAAAGTAGAAATTAATGAATGAACTCGTTTCATTTTCCATGTTTTGACCATGAGGCCCGTTACTATGTAAATGGGTTCCACAAATAGTAACTGTGTGACTATTTTACCAGATATAAGCGTATTTGAGAGTAACAACATAGCTGTTTAAGTAGAAAAATCTTGTCACAGACTATGCCAATTACTTAGCGAACCTAATAGTTGATCTTTGATCAATGTAATGGTGTCAACTGGACAAATAAAAACTCCACAATTTTATTGAAGTTGTATTAGTGGGTTTCATTATCTTCTTATTCAGAGTATTCTCAGTCGTCGAAAATCAACTGTTAGGCTTATAAAAATAGTGAGTTCCAGCCTTGATAAAATTTTTTGTTCAAGACTCTTATAAGTAACTCTATAAGAATAGTTTAGAGCAAAACACTATGCAGAATGGCTCGACATTTGTGTTTTAAGTATGTTACGAGTTGTAAGTATAGGTGTACGCTGCTCAGTACAATTGTTGGAATTGTCCAATCTCCTGCCGAAGCAGAATATGCATATGATGAAGAACTTGTACTTCAGGTCTAGAATTACTCTCGAGTCTCAACCTACCAGAGTCACTACTTGGAGGGTTAAATATGGATTAATATCATCCAAATTAGATAAAAGGTAAAAATAAATAAGTCTCGGTTAGGGTCTGCTTTCATCCTAGAAATGGTAATAAGGCAGGGGTGGGATGGAATGCCCCAACTCCTACCTTGCCCCCATCACCCGCTCCCCCCGGGCCTGCCCAACTTCCCTCGTAGGCAGGCTAATAGAAATTTGCCTTGTAACGAAATTTCAGGCAAATTTCAATCAACAATCAAGTATTTTAAAGACCAGCACGTTACCAACTTATTGCTGATACACAATTTCTGATAATTTCACAATACTTAACCCATAAAAACAAATAGATACTATTTTAGTACAATCCAATATAATGAGACAAATACAACTCGAGTAATCAGGTTTTCACCTTTTCAATCTCAAGAATGTCAAAGAGTAAAAGTGTAATTAGTTATTTAGTATAAATGTATTAGTATAACTAATTAGCAATTTGTGTTAGTATAAATGTATAATTATTAATATAACTAATAATATTAATTATATTAGATATACATAATGTTATATTTATAACTAATAATATAATTGTTATAATTAATAATATTAAATATATTTTATATATAATTATAGTAAATTTATTTTTTAGGTGGGTGATAGGACAGGAGATGTCCCCGTTCCTTGCCCTGTTTTTTAACGGAGGGAGAAAATAACCACCCGCCCTGCCTTATCCCCCATCTCATCAAGCCCCCGCAGGCAACGCCCTAATTGCCATCTCTATTTCAATGAATTTGTCCGTTAGGCAACCTTCTTCTTGATTGTCCGTTAGGCAATGAATTTGTAGTGGTGTTGTACTGGCAGGGCGGGGAAATATCTCAACAAGACTATTTTTCCTCGAGACTTCTTTACATATTTTTTACATGTACTTTTGCTTTCAAGCTGATGAGGGCCATTCCTTTTTCCAAATTTTGAAACATTTAAATGCCCAATTTTGGGTAAAAAATATAACTCATTTTCATGTCTGACTCAAAAGGGTAAGCTATGAATACTTGGCTTTGATATAACTTGCCTACATTTCCCACAACCTTTTAATATCACTTATTGTGATAGGGGTTTACATTATTACAACACTCAAAACCTAAGGGCGCTATGCAAAATTGTTAGAAACCTAAAGGGAGGTTTATAAAATTATCCCCACTACAAATTTTGCAACCAGGATTAGGCACTATAACAGAAGTTGAAAATGTGCCAGATACAATATCATAGATTATATTACCACTTAATTAAGAGAATCTTCTTTAGAAGGAAAAAATACAAACAGAGCAATTAGCCTCTTTCAGTATCTTGGATGACTTTATGATGTTCCCTAAGCCACAAAAAGGCCCTCCACAATCATCGATATGGCGCCACACCAAGCAGTGAGTCCAGGCCAGACAACTGACATTGAAGAAAACTGTAGACTGACTCAGTCGTCATTGCAGCAATTCGAACCACAACACCTCTTCCCTGCAGAAAACAGGAAGGAGTTGGCATGTCTTCAAATGAAGAATGTAAAACGTATATTTAGTTAAACAAAATTTGACGCATGAAACAATTTGTACAAATGCTAAAATTTCCCTGACTTGACGATGCAGAGATGGAATTTTCACTACATCAATGTCAGTATAGAGGAAGCAGAAATTTCAGAAGCTATGCCAAACATTCTTACAGAAAATGTTACTTCAGTTTAAGAAAAGAAGCATTTTTTACAATAAGGAGTTCAAGAGAAAGCACGACTGTAAGGTGGAAAGCTTGTCAATCTTCAAGTCTAACCATCTGTGCATGTAATGGAGACAGGCAAAATTTACATAAATCAAGCTTCCACAAGGCATACAATGATCCATAAAAGATTAAGATATAAAAGAAAAAATATATACCACAATGCCTAACAGCAAAGTCATGCAATATACTTGCTTATGTCGTGTAACCCACTGATTAGTATAAGATTCTCAAAGAGCTATCCAAAGACATTAAAAATTCCATGAGGATCTTCAAGCATATATGACACGACTAGTAGAAGACCCTGACTGCAATTGTAGATGCAAAGCCTTGCAGATTAGTCAGTGGTATTAAACAAACACTAAAATAAAATTTCCTTGGAACAGAACCTATTGAATATTGACTGTAAAAAGAGCCTACCATTGCAAGAAAACTAACACCCATGTGAAAAAAATCTACCTTTTGACCCAAGACGCTGCAGGAGGCCAAAAAGCTCGGTCTGGTCAAGAAAGGATTGTCATCGATATCTCCATATCGTCCAGAGCTACCTGAAGGAATACGTAATTGCTGAGACATCAAGTTTTTCACATTTTCCTGAATTTGGTCTTGAATGAACTTCAGCTTTGGCCTAAAATTAAAAAGATTTGTAGTCCCTCAGACAACCAAGATTAAGTAGTGGAAAGGAAATAATCATATAAAGAACAAAAGTACTAGTTAAATTAATTCATCGAGTCAACACATACCCCAAAAGTATAACCATTGCAATCACTTGATAATCTTGCATCCGTTCAGCAATACTGCTATACCTTCCCTGCTCTAGCAATATCTGTGATCAAAGTAAAACAATCGGAGCCATTTAAATGAGAAGGATAACCATCATCTAGTTACAACAGAGTCAATCTTGTAGAAGGAAAAACTTCAGAGAAGAGAACTGAATTAAAGGTAACCATTCTTGGATCAACATTCTCTAATTAGTTCAGATGTAAAGAAAACAAAATGAGTTTGTTTTAGAGTCGGATGTATAGAAAATATCAAAAGCAAGAGTCTCCCAACGCAGGGGAGTCAAGAAACCCAAATGCAGAGAGCATTCTGAGACTTCACCAACAACTAATGCTTATTCATGAGTGAAAAAGGAAAACAAAAGATTCCTGATAGAGGTAAAAAAATTAGCTAAATGATCTCCATGTTGAAGACAATAGAAGACTGGGTAACATAACACCTGTGCATGCCAATGTGCTAGATGATCTTTAAGCAAGTCAAAGTTCAAAAAGTGCACCGAAGTTCCAAGTAAATCAGTTTGAAGATCTGAAGCTTGTATCTCCATGAGATGTTTGCATTTGATTATTTCAACAAATATCAACATTAATTGCTATGGAGAAACACATTCTCCAGGCTCAGTCCATCAGAATAAAGCAATTTCATCCAAAAGATCTTTTTTTTTTGGGGGAATTCATTTCAAAGATGTTTCCTATCATTAAGGCATCTAATCGACATTTGCTCAAAGCTGTTTGACAAAATTAATTTACCATGTTCCTGTAAACTGCAGTTGTCATGATTACAATATTCTATTGTCCAACATGACATATATTCCCAGGATTAAGGCCTGTATATGCATAAATTGATTAAAAGGACATTAAATGACCACAGGTTGAAAGCTCGAAAGCAATTAAAACAAAAAAAATACAACATTCTACAAAAATCTAAAGATATTCAAGATTGACATGAATCTATTGCAAGCAATAGTTCAAAAAATAAAAATTTCTTATAAGATTAAAATACTTCAGTTTCACCACTCTCTTCAATATCACACGCTTAGTATACAATGATGCTAGCATAGTTAAAAAACATGGATTGAGGATGACAATACCGTGTCAAGAAACAAAGGCTCATCAGCATCTAGAAAAATGTTGTTAGTGCTCTTGTAAAGTTCAAAGTCCCACTTTTCACCTCTTCCATAACGGCCACTAGTTATCCAATCAACAATGAGCAAGCTGGAGCTGGGAAAGACTTTGAATACTTGAGTTTGAGAATACTTTGCAGTTGAAAAACATGTAACTGGATCTGGAATCACAGCCAAAAGTGCATCACTTCCAATTCTTGCCTACTGTGCGGCACAAAAAAGCCGCTATTACCAATAGCTTTAAAACTCAGGAAAGATATTGCATAAGATAAGTAGGATACTAGATAATACAAACTTGGCTTGAGAAGCTAAAGTACTCTTCCCCAGCAACACTATTTTTTGAAGCAGCAGAAGGAAACACCTAGGTTTTTCAGCCATAATATCTTTTTTTTTTTTGGTCCAAAACAAGAACAAGCCAAGATGAAAATTCCGTCACTATGTCAGCATAGACAATTCATAGCCATGCACAGTACTTCTTTTTTTTTCAAAAAAATTTGCTTGCATAAAGTACTACATTTTTTGTATTTCAGATCCAATGGTAAATCCAAGAGGTGATTTAAAGATAACAAGGGGCTAAGAGAGTCTATTAAAGGTTCATGAAAAGTAATACAAAGAAAATGAAGGAAGCAGTTTAGACAAAGGTTTTACTACTAACTTTTTATTCGAATTTTGATATTGTTGATCAAATTAAGCTAGGATGAATCTTATTACTCCTAAGTCAGACATCCTCATACTACTTATTTGCCGTGAATCTAGATTCCAGTTTTCCAGCAGGTACCTCATTTCATGAGGTGAAGTTTTAGGTGTTCTTTTAGGAATGGTAGAAAAGCGTTGTAGAATAATCTAGCAAGTTTTTGTATCAGGGTCCTTATCTATAGATTAGCTTTGCATAGTTTTAATGTGGTATGACTCATGTGCTCTGTCAATAACTTGCAAAAGAGATTCATATGGCCCTTGAATGCTTGACCTAAACTTGTCTTGGAACATAAATGCATCCTAGGATTTCTTCTTATTGACCATCTTCTCTTCTAAACTGTACAGCTCCAATCAAAATCCTTATTCTAGCTGTCTTCTAGCCTGCACATCCTCTCTTTTCCACAAGTTCAGATTATTCTGTCCCAACCTCTTCCACTTCAAAATCAAACCATCCCTTCCATCCCAAGACAAACAAAGTTCAAAACCATTATTAGCAGCTTTAATTCCAGGCTTCCTCAAGTAGATCTACTTCATGACGTCCAAAGAAATAGACAATTCAGGACTAGAAAACTTTTCTGGTGAACAAATCTAACAGGAACTATGAAGTGTATCCCAATAAACAAGGGAGACAACTGGACAACTTGAATGTGTCCATAATTTCTATAAAAACAAATTGGCCCATCTCATGAATCAGGTTTCCCACATGAAATTTTAAGTAAACATAATATGATTTAAGAAAATAGCACTTTGCCCTCTAGCACTTTTATTGATTAAAAAGATGCAAAACTTGGCTTCAGAATAATGTTGGCAACATAATGCTAGTAACAAATATGTCGGTAACATAATGCTAGTAGCAAATTCTCAAAAGAAAATCAAGTGCACATAAAACTTGTACAATACTGCAAGCATCAGGAACATCTGAAGAAACTTTGAAGGCAATCAAAAGCAAACACCATCTGGAAAAGCATTTCATGTATGAGATCATTGAAAACGTGTCTTGATAATTACTACCTTTAATTAGGTGACAGACATGTTCAACTCCAATCCCAAATTAACATGTGAAATGCAGCCTAGGTCGAATTTTCCTTTATACTTTTTGACCAATCTAGACTCCACGGTGACAAACAAATCACTGTCGTGGGGAAACTGTTAAAAGTTATACCAGACATTAACAAACACAAACAGCAATAAATGCTGAATTAGCTTATTCATCAAGCAAAATGGTGATTACCTCCAGAACTTGTTCAGAGCACTTTGATTCCACAGATTTGTAGACCTATATATATACCAATGGTGTAAACCAAATTAACCAAGCATCATCAAAAAACGAAAGAAAAATAAAGTATTACAGAGTCCAACAATACTTAATAGCAAACGCAAAACAAAAACCATAAGGTGGGACATAGCATCAAAGATTTGACCTTTGTTGAAGCTTGAGTGGTTAACACTGTGGTGCACCCATCACCAACTGAAATATCACACTTTATAGCATCACCCTATTTATGCATACAACAAATTTAATCACTCAAACCAAAACATAGAACTATTGCAGACTATTCAACTATTAACAAAAAACAGAAACGCACAAAAACGATACACATCTCTTTATGCAGGGAAATGGAAAGTGTGCATACCGACACAATTCCACCACCATAAGTGATAGTGTAAATCCAAACAGCATCAATTTGAGAAGGACCCACCTGCCAAAACCACCATAAAAATGAAAACCCATGTCAAGAATCAAACGTTTTTTCTTGCATGCCAATATAATTACTTCAGAATGTTGGTTTCCGCTATAGGCATCAGTAGGGAGGGAACCTTATTGGGGATGATGAATTTAAGAGGATACTTTGAGTAGCAGTGAATAGCAGCTGACTTTCCACCTACCCTCTCCACTACCACCTTTCCTGTTTCCATCTCTGTCCCCGATTCTGTCAAAGGCTCAAAGTCCAATTCCTGTTGGGAATTTTAAGATGGGCTTACTGCAATTTCCTTCTTGTAATTTTAAGGTGGCAAAGAATTGGTTAATTTAAACTGCACCCCTTTATTTTTCGAAGAACTATCCTTAGACCCTTAAAGTTTAGAAGAAAAACTGCTGTACACCATTGATTTGATGCACGAGTTTTTGATCAAAACAGGCTAGAGAAATCAAAACTGAAGCACAAGTTTAAGGCCCCTCTTCACAGAAGTAATCAACAAGAGGCAATATAGTACATGTCGTTGCCATGGACTGTCATAACTATACAAGACAAGCTTTAGGTACTTCAATTTTCAATTTACTAGTAATATCTTATTTTCCTCATATTACCGTAAATTAATCACCAAATTCATAATCTAATCGACTTATTTGTTTTGTTGGATTTTTATTTGAAGAAGACCCCATTTCTAAAGAAGTAAATAGTCCTAATCAAGAGGAATAAGGTATACATTCTAGGTAATTATGTTCTGTCTTTTATCTTTACATGTGAATAAAATAATACTAGTGCTACTAGCATACTCTATGAGATGTGTTACAAAATAGACTAGTTATTATTGTAAGTTTTTTTCTTTTTTAATGTAATATATATATATATATATATATATATATATATATAACCATTGGGATTAGTCTAATAGTCTAGAAAGAGTTCTTAGAATCTTCTTTGTCAGGTTTAAGGTTCAAATCTTATACTTGATAGTTTGGAGGAAAACATGGCTAAGTTGTATAGAGAAGATGTTAAATGCTGCGCTTTATCAAATTTTCTGTTTTAACATTTTTACTTGATTAACAAATGGAGAAGAAGAAAAAGAATTCAACCTTACCAAAGAGAATTCGATCAGTAAAATTGACAGTTTTGATCCATAATCTATAAAATCACATAACCAATCAAGCTAATTAATTGAATTGTGATTTTATTATGATATATTAACAAACTAATATTGTTTGTGTTTATCAACAAGTATATAAAATTGGTTTTGAATTATCTAGATGCCACATGAGTTTTTTCTTTATAGGGTTTTTTACAATCAGAATTTTGGAACATATTCTATACAATACGCTATTTATATATTAAAGAGTAAAGGTTTTTGGAAGGTTGTTATAAAGTTAACCATAAATTATCAACTGCATAAAATTAATGTTTGCCACTTTGTTGATTTAAGTTGGCAATTGTAGTAAATATTCAATATCATATATGAAGAAATCAAGTAGATACAATCAACACTATATGGCGTATGCTCATATTTTTCTTGCTTGAGTGAAAATGAATTTTGTTCAATGCCTTTAATATAAAAGAAATTCGATAAAATAGTGCAAGACTATAGTACCATGAGTAAAACAATTACCTCAGACAAATTTAAAAACCCGTGGTTCAGTAGATTTACCTCTATTCTACCATATACATGAAATCAAGTGTAAACAAAAACCATGCAATAAATTTGGCATGTTATAGTAGATTATCATTTTTTAAAGTACTTTAAGTTTTGCTAAGTATATTTCTATTCCCAAATTTATAGTATATATCTTAATAGTGTCAATATAATGTGCCTATGATTGAAAAATTATTGATTTTAAGTTCTAAACTCTCAATTATATTGTAATGTTAAAGGCACTTATGTATATGTTTCCTTTGAACATGATGCAGAAAGCAAAAGAATTATTCAAAGAAAATATATGCAAAGTGGAAGTGCAGCATCAATTCAAAGTCTAAACAGAGAAAAGGAAAAGATATACTGCCAATTGGAAAAAATGGTGCAAAGAAATAAGAAAGGAAGATTACTTAAAGAAAGAGCACAACGAAGCAAGTATTGCATTTGAGTTCTATTAACTTTGCTCATGTGTTGAGTACTAAAGCTAGATTATTGACCTGAAGACATCTCTCTTATATTGCAATTTCAAATTCTAGGTTTACAATTATGTTGGTTATTTTGTAAAAATAATTTCCAATTATATATTGTCTTCTTAAATTTCATTTGATGGTGCTTGTTTACTGCCGCACCCCATTTTTCGCGAAGAAAAAAAAAGGTTTACAAAAGATGTGATTTTATTTAAAAATAAGTGAAAAAGGACCTAGAATATAACTTTAAAGAATGCGACAGTTTGGCTCCAAAATTTAGTCTAAAAGGATTTTAAAGGAAATTAGGAGTCACCACTTGGTATTTAGTTTGGGTGTACCAAGTCACCCCAAAATATTTTTTTGACAAAAATAAAATAAAATAAAACCCTTTTTGACAACTCCAAGTCTTTGAAAAACAAGAGAAAATGGGTTCGAGAGTCATGATGAAGAAAGGGAAGGCAAAGGTTCAATTAACTTAAACCTAAGGCACCCTTTCAAACTAGTCTAAGCTAGTTGTGAGGTTTAGTTAAAATTTTCCTAATCTAACCCTTAAATTTATCACGTTTAGATGTTTCCTATATGAATGTAAATCTAAATTTAAAAAATGTCAGAAGGGTCAAAATATTCATCAAGGGTTTAATTGATACCACTCGCATTAATTGCAAAGTCCAAAATAATCCCTTGAAAGGGGTCACGAGCATGCATGAATGAAATTCAAAGAAAAAAAAAATAAAATTTTACATTTAGATATAAGTGGTCAAAGAATAGGAATGCAGCATAATGGATACAGGAGGCAAAAACTCACGACACAATTTTCTTATACAAGAATTAATGGGGTATTTAAACTAAAGAGTTATAATCACCCATATCCATGTTCAAAGAATAATTCTCCTAATATGAACAAGCAATGAACTAACTTATTCTATAATTTCTTAAATGAGATGCAATTCTAAATGATATAATTAGCACATATAAAGGGTAGGGGTAGAGGATAATATAATAGGAAATATCATGCAAATGAGAAAAAGATCCTAAAAATGAAAATATGCATGAAAATGTAATGAATATCACACAAAGATGAATCTAAGGCATGAACAATCTAAGGGCCTAACATTAGACTAACCCATTTCTAAAAGTCCTTATTAACGTTGGACTAGCAAGTAAACGGAGGAAGAAGACACAACTAGCATTGGATTAGTATGGTGACGTCATGTATTAATAATACATAATAAAACAAATAAGGTATAAATTAAAACAAATAAATACATATGAGCACATAGCACGTAACACGTAAACATAATATCTAGATGCAAAAATTCTAAGGAAAGCAGATAAAGCATATAACACATAAGCCACATAAACACATAACCTACGTATTACATCGGGGAGCCTAACTACAATATAAATGGGGAAAGTATGAAATAAACCTACCTATCCTATCTATTACATTGGTCTATCTAATTACAATTTTTGTAAAAAAAAAATTATCTATCTATTATGTCTTGAGGTATTTAAGCACCTCTCAACTAATTAAAAAATTAACTAAACAAATATAAGAAAATTTGAATGAACATTTAAATCAAATAAATAAAACATATAAAAATATATAAACACATAGGAACATGCAGGAGCACATAAAAGCACATAATTGACATTGAAACAATAACAATAGGGGTACCTCCCATTTGAAGTGGTGACTAAATGGAAGTCAAATTGCCCTATTTATACTCAAAATAAACAAAAGAATCAAGGCATCAATTTAATTGAAAATAATAATAATGATAAAATACTAAATTCACATTAATATGTCAAATATAAAAAAACTTAAGAACATCTAAAAATTACAAGTTAAATATATTCAAAAGTAACATAATTAGCTATTAAAGAAAAAAAACAATCATAATAAAAAGAGTCAAAATTCACTAGGGACAAAATTGCAAAAATGGAAAACTTTTGGGAAAAAATATATTTTTTCAAAATTTAAGGGTCAAAATTAAATAAAAGATAAAATCTAGGGACCAAAATGTAATTAATTTAAGGACTTAAGTGAAAGAAATTTAAAATATTCCGGGCTGCAGTAAAACTACTCCAAAGATCAGGAGCTAAAGTGCAAATTAGCCAGCAGATCTTATTAAGAAAACAGGCCACTGGGCCATTCTCTATTTATTTTCGGGCCAAAGTCCAAGCCAAAATACCCAGGCCAGCCCGTCTGGTTATCACTCAAGCCTGACAAAAAATACATGGGCTCTGACCTACTAACCCAACTAAAACCCAAAAGAAATAAACCAAAACCTACTCCCAAAACCCAACCAAATATAACCACAAGCCCACCTAAAAGAAAACATTAACCCAAACCTTTTTTTCTCTTCTTTTCTTTCCTTTCTTTTATTTTCTTTCTTTTTCCTTCTCTGCTTCTTCATTCTTCTTTCACCCGAGAAGCTGAACTCCTCCCTCCTGGCGGCTATGGCCGCCTCCGGCGGCACCGCTGCCGGACCGCCGCCGGACGCGGCAAATTTTCCTGTCTTCAAATTTTCTCAAAATACAACCCCCACTCGATTTTTCGCATAGAATCCGTTTTTGAAGTTAGTTTTTACAAAAAATGACCCGAAAGTGGCCAAAATAGCAAAATTCAGTCCAGTCTTTATATATTTTTTAAACACTCAAATCTTTCACCAAAAATCCTAAAAATTATACTATAACACTCCTCACAACTTCAACAATACAACTATGATTTTAATTTGACAAAAAAACAACATAAAAGGGCTAAAATAAAGCAAAACAGCCCCTTAAAATTCGTTTTTTCCATTTTGACATTTTTTCAAACAATTAACATGCATTCACAGAGCCGATTCTTTTTTCTTTAACTTTTATTCATGGGTAACCCCAAAACTTCAACAACATTAGTAGCAACAACAATAAACGGAACCAAGGGACAAATAAACATCAAAACATGTATTTAATTTAATAAATTAAGGAAAGGAAAAAGCTGGAAAAAAGAGAAAAAAGAAATACCTCAATGAAGAATGTAGTCTCTTGACTAAAAATTTGATGAAATTACAAGCTCCAACCCAACCGGTTGCTGTCTCTTTGTTGTGTGTGAGTGTGTTGGGAGAAAAGGAGCCGAAAGGGAGAGAATGAGGTTTTGTATTGGTGTTTGTTTGTGTAGTTGAGAGAAAACATAGATCCGAGAATGAGTGATATTTGTTTGTGTTGTTGTTAACACAAAAAAAAAAGAGAGGGAGGATTGAGAGAGAGCCGAGAGAAGAGTGCGGGAGATTGAGTGTTGTTAAGAAAAATGAGAGGGAGCCTTCTGAGAGAGAGAGCCGAGAGATTTGTATATGGGAGCAAGAGTGGAGTCTTTGTGTGTTTGGTTAGTAAAAATGATGGTTTTTGACCAAAAATGAAAAGAAATGTGCATTGAGATATTGAGTGCAAAAATGGATAGATCATTTGGTGAAAGAGAAATAATTAGGATGATTTTTTATTTCATGATTTTCTTCTTTCTTTTTTGTTTGTTTGTTTGTTTTTCTTTTTCCTAACATAAACCTGCAAAAATGAGAAAATACACATTAAAATGTAAGAAAATAAATAACTCATTAAATAGAAAAA